GTCTACCTTTTTAAAGTTTATTACTGTAAAAAACACGTCGTTGAACTCCCTCAAAATACTCCCCCAAAATACTCCCCCTCACTTCAAACACACCGATCCCATTGTTCTTACCACTGTCTGAAGTAGTTCTGGGGGTCCTCTTTCATGAGTGTCTTTAGTTGGATGTCATGACTAATTTGGTTCAAGATGTTTACCTTTCGTGGTCCTTTTGACTTATGAAGAACCATAAATTGCATGGCCCAGATCTGGTGAAGAAGGTAGATGAGGACACTTAGTAACATTTTAACGAGCCTGCCTTTCTGTTGGATGGCACTCAGGAACAGCATTCACCATTTTTTATCACACCTTGTAAAGAAATGAAGGCGTTAAGAGTGATGGGATAAGTGTTTGAAGTAAAGGAGAGGATTTTTCAGTAAGAGGAATGGCAATGTGTCTTTTACTGGAATATTTACCATACATGTTGATCATACTCATAAAAGGAGCTCACACTGCTAATAAACTATTTTCAGGGCAGCCTAAAACAGCCTTGATGGTAGGGCTGTTATTCCAAATGCTCTTTGAGAAAAATGAAACAGTGCATTGGGTGAGCTCCTTCTACCTGTGACTTAGGTCGAAGGGTACTGGTAAGGATCCATAGAGAAATATGCAAGTCTAAGAAATCAGACCTGAGCCAGCCCTCAGAACCAAAGTTCCTTGTGTCAGACCACACATACAAGAAGCCTCATGAGAAATAACTACTAGCTCTGCTCCAGGGACTGGGCCACCCAGGGTCTCTGCTTCTCTCTTGGCATGTCCCACTGAAACTCTCAATACAGTGCTGTCTGATAGTGTAATCACACTGACACCTAGCATGGTAGCTTTTGACCTGGCTGCCTTTCCCTGGATCATTCAGTCATAGCCACATAGCAGGCAGGATCCTGCTCAGGTACAAACATTAACAACATGAGGCACAAAATGGCCTGGGAACTTCTTCCCCAGACCAGGGCTGACTCTGGCCTATCCAGTATTTCTAGAGACACTGAGGCAGCCTGGTGTCACTGGAAGAGCACAGGTCTTGGAATCAGACAGGTCTAGGTTTGAACATGGTTCTGCCACATAATTTCCTCTGCTGTAAATTGTACATATCACCCAGTGCACAGAGGTGAAGATCAAATAGCATAAACTGCTGTGTGCTTGGCGTAGAGCATCTGGACTTAATGAATGACAGGGTTTTGTATTTTAGTTCATTTTTAATGGAAAAAAAAAGCTGGAAAGGTAGAAAAGTGGGAAAATATTTAGTTTTATCACCCTATCACTTAGCCCCTTAGCACTGGCAATGTGCTGTTTTCAGCTCTTACAGGGACTCATCCATTATTTAAGGCTTTATATGCTGCAGTGCTGTATATTTTAATGAAGAATCTTTTGTACACGGTGTGATGTTATACAATTTTGCATTTTGATTTTTTTTTACATTATGAACTATTTTAACCTAAATTCTTTACATAATTTTAGTAAACGTGCCATAATTTGCATCAAGTTCTTATTGTTGGACACCTAACAGTAGAAAGCTAATTGAATAATGTGAGTGCACTCATATAATAAAACTCTTAGCACCATTTAAAAAGGTATAGTGGCCAGGGATTTAGCTCAGTTGTTCCACTGTCTGCCTTGCAAGCACAAGGACCCAAGTTTGATCTCCATTACCAAAAAAAAAAAAAAAAAAAAAAAAAAAAAAAGGTATAGTGAAGAATCTCTTAACACAGAAATGTGTTCTTGATTATATAAAAGTGAAATGGTTTCACCTAAAGACTAACTGCCTCCCACACCTGTCTTGACTTTCACTGACTCAGTCTCAGTGCTTCTCAAATTTCAAGGAGCCTCAGAGGCACCAGAGGAGCTTCCTAAATGCTTCAGGCTTTACCCATGGAGTTTGATTTAGAAGATAAAGGCTGGGTCTCAGGAACCATCTCAGGAGGATCCCAGGTGACTCTAAGGCAAGAATGGCCCACCTCCCATTTGGTCCTGCTTCCCCCCGCCTTTTTTATTGAGTTTATTGGTGCAATCTAGGTCTACAATACAGTTACATTCATTACTGGGATCCTGTACCTTCACATGACAGGTCTTGGTTCTCATTTTTTCCCCTTGTCCTTGGCCTCCCTTCACCCCTCTATTCCTGCTTTCTTTTCCAGGCTTCTCCATTACCTCCTGAACTTCTTTTTGAGTACTTCCTTTTCTTGTCCTAAACTGTAGAAGTTTTTCTGATCCTCCAAGCAAACTAGAGGTGGGTGTCCATGTCACAGCCCTGAGATTGTGTCGAGTCCTGAGTGAGTTACTAACTATAGATAGTGGAGTATCTGGAATCCAAATTTTGTTTACTTTGTAGTGAAAAGAGGCAGAGCACTTCAGAACTCTAGCACATCTGTTATTGGCTCGAATTCTGGGGAAGAAAGGTAGTCTTTACAACTCTGGAAATAACAGAAAATCTTGCTTAAATTACCCTTACTTTGGCAATCAAGTTGTTAAAAGGGAGTGCTTTGTCTTTTGTATACCTACTCTGGTCTAGGCAAGAGATGGCCAGTGTTAGTTAAAGAGGTTGGTCATTCCTAGAGGATTTTCAGGCTACTGGTTGGTTTTCATTCTCAGACTTTGTGCCCCGGAATTCATTCAGGGTGAGTTTTTCATCTTGCAATTCACTTAGGAGTTCACTAATGTTGAATTGGGATTGAGTGACACCCTAAAGTACTTCTTCACTTAGATTTGATTGGTTTGATGTCCTTCCATAAACTAAATAATATTGTATATCCATGTCAAGTAAAGTTTGTGTTGTCTTCTGCTATCTTTTATGTAGTAGGCCAGCTTTTGCAGACTCAGTAGTTACAAATAACAACTAATAAATATTATTTTGAGATAATATTGGGTTTCTTTTCTTGCCTGTGAGGGAAGACCATACTCTACAAATCTATTATTATTCTAATTTCAAAAGCATTAATAGTTACAGAAAAGAATTCCCCAGAATTTGACTTAACTAGCTAAGTTTAACAGCTCACTCAAAATTGCTGCCTTGTTTCACAAGAAGATGTTAATTTTCTTAGACTGAAGTTCAAGATGACCAGAGAATGGGGACTGTTAGGGAAGCAGGAGACCCTAGAGAATCAAATGCTTCTGGTAAGGAATGATCAAATAGTGTCCACATGGCAAACGCAGAATCACTCCTTAGAGCCCTGTTCAGAAGCATCACCTATAAAATCACACATCTGTAAAGCATTTTATAAGCCCCTCTTGGAAACAGTCAACCATTTTATCCTTTCATTCTGCACCTACAACTGTAGCTGATCCACGTTGTTGTGCTGTATCACACCATAGTGTCACACTGTGGTGTGATTGTACGTTGCTATTCTTCACTGAAACAGATTTAAGGGCTTGGGATAAAGCTCACTGCTACAGCGTGCTGAGTTCAATCCCCAGCACTGCCCAAAACATTCACTGGGCATAGGGCATTTGATCCAGGTTGAATGACTGGATATAGTAAGTTTCATAAATGAATGAACAAATGAATGACCACTGAACAAGGAACATCAGTCAGGTACACTGTATTTTCAATAATTCCTGTAGTTTCTAAATTTAAAGCATCACCCAGTCTTGACTAATTTCCCTAAAACATTTTTCTCATTATGAGAAGATGGTGAAATTGAGGGCTTCCCAGCCTGTGGAGCCTCTGATTTAAAAAACTAGATCTGAGGCTGAGGCCTAAGGATCATTAGTTTGAAGCAGCTTGGCAACTTCTCCTTTCAAAATAAAATTTAAGAAGCAAAAAGAAGCCAGGTCTGATATTCTGCAAAATCCGGCTCAACATCAGCCTACTGGTTGCTGTTAAATTCCTTTTCTGGGCTCTTGATTCCACATAATGCTTACTCATCACAGATACTTGAACTTTCTATATACATTTGCTATCTAGTCTTAAACTCTATTAAAAAGTCAATTTTAGAATCCAAAGCAATTTTTTCATTTTTACTGGTTTGAGAACCAAGCCACTTGAGAGAAAGATAGCTTTTGTTAGTAGGAGTACTAGAATTGAAGTCATATAGACCAGCGTTCAATTCTTGGCTCTGAGGCTCAAATCATAGCCTTGTATTATTGGCTGAGTGAATATGAGCTGTTTACTTAATATTTTTGAAGATGGGTTTTCTCATCTGTAAAGTCTGATTAGTAATCCATCTCAGTGGTCACGACACGGGTCCGCTCGGGATTATGCGAACCAGAGTAATGTCTGCACAGAGCAAATTGTTAGTCATCTTGTCTACCCTTCCCTGCCCAAATCACAACCTAAGGCATTGGGATTTAGATGTTTGCCTTGGCATTGTTAGAATGGGTTGTAGTTTCTAACTAACAGAATTCACACACGTCAAAGACAGTGATTTTAGTAGATAGAGGATCAGCTTGTTAAAAGTAAATGCTTTGTCTTTTGTGCACCTACTCTGGCCTAGGCCAGAAGGAGACAGGGTTAGTTGAGGGGCCATGTATCCCATCAGCATTTGGACACAAGGTTCAGAATTTCTTACTTTAAAAAAAAAAATCTCTTTCCTCAATTAAATGTTTTATTGTTATTGCTTTTTTTTTTCCACTTTCTTTTTCTACTGTAAGCTATGGCTCCCAGTCAACCATCAACTACAGTAACTTTGTATAACTGTATACCTTACAAGATTGTTTCTGTGAGGATCTAGGATCTCATAGCAAAATATGTAAATATTTTGGAAAAATAAGATCTATATAACCTAGTATACATGTTCAAGTTTTAAAAGTCACATTCTAAGTATTTGTGTTAAATAGGATTTTCTTAAATTCTGGCAGTAAACAAAGAGCATTTTAAACATGGGAAAGTTAGTCATATGAGCTTAAGTCACCACGAAATGTTAAAGTAATCAGGTGGGAGAAGCAACATCGTTGGTCCCCTACTCTCACTCCTGCAGAGTTCATTTGTCATTTTCTGAGCCTTATTTTTTCCCTTTTTCTTCCCTGTAAAGGTAGAAACCTGTGGGTCCTTGTTGTGGGTCGGTTTCCCAAGGAGCACAGAGTTGGGATTCCAGAATTCAAATACGTGGCAAATATGCATGGAGATGAGGTATGTACATGGTATGAATGTCTGAATTGTCACCAGGAAGCTTCCCCTCAGGTCTCTTGGGCTCTGTGTAAATGCTAAAAGGAAGCATGGAGAAGTCTCAAGCATGGTAGCAAAGAAGCAAAGCCCAGACAGGACTTCCCACTGAGGCCTTCTGCCAGCGTTAGGGGTCAGGGTGGAAGACATTTGGTTGTGTGCTCAGGGGCCTGGAAGAGTAGCCTGAGCTGTTTTTGTGCTTGAAAATGGGAGAATAATGACCCCCACCCCAGCTCAGAAATCCTGCCAGCAGATCCCTTCCAACACTTCCTGGGTTGATTCTCCCACCTCCTTCTAGGCCTTAAGGAGATCTAGCCCAGGAGCTCCATTGTGTTTAAACTCAAAGCTTTTCAATGCTTTCGATCTTACTAAAAAGCAACATAGCTAACATTTTAGGGCAGTGGTTCTTAACCTTCTTGGAATGTATTCTTGCCAAACTGGTACAAACTTGACTTCTGACCTCAAGGTCCATAGATCTTCTAGGAGTTTCTAGGTCTCGTATGGAGAATCCCAACAGGCAGTAAATACACATTGAATAGCGGAGGACAGAATTGACCACACTATTGTAGAACAACATAAGAGAAACATTGAAAGAGGTTTCACCTTTCCATTTTAACAAGACTATCAGGTATTTTTCTAGTTTATCCAGACCATAGTTTAGAAACATTAGAATGCTGAATTGTAGAAACCCCAGTTCTGGGTTTAATTAATGCAGGCTCCTAATTGACACCTAAAATCTAGTCACTTCTAGAAGGGTCGATGCCAGCACACACATAATGGGGCTCTGCCTTTCCCTTCATCCACAGATATTTGGATTGTTTAGGGGTAGGATTTTTGTTCCTCTCCCCTTCCCCACAACTTCATTCTGCTACTGGCTTGCTTCATAGAAAAACTATAATCAATAATCTAAAATCGTGCTTCCTAGGGCTGGGGATTTAGCTCAGTGGTTTCGCTGCCTGCTTCACAAGCACAAGGTCCCGAGTTCTATCTCCAGCACCAAGTAAATAAATAAATAAATAATCGAGCTTCCTGAAAATAGTGGCCTTCAAATCTCCACCTTTCCTCAAATTCTCTCTGCTCTGCTTATTATCTGTCTTCTATCCCATGGTTTCCAAATGTTGCACACAAGAAAAGTATCTCACTTAAGCAATCCCCAGATTGGTAAGTGCTGTGTAATTCCTCTCTAGCTGAAATACTGAAGGGAGACATGACTCTGTGCTTTAAGAAATGGGTACCTGGAGTGTTAAGCTAACCCAGCAACAAGCACAGCACAGGTCAGAGCCTCAGGTTCCCAGCCTCAGAGCCCAGGTCCTGATTACTGTGGCAGCAGCTACTCGATATGTGTTTATGAAGTTTACCTGAATTGCAATTATGATATTTATTTGGTTTTGCCTACAGAATTTTTTTTTTTTTAACAAATCAGCTTCTGTTTCTTAATTATCAAGTGAATTACTTTCACCATGAGTATTTATTTGGGTACAGAGTTTTGAAAAATCCACATCCCATTTAGAATTTCCCATCTGGTGGCATTTGTTTACAGCTTATTGTCCAGATATACACGTTGAAAGGAAAAATAGTCCCTGGACACTTGTGACCATGTTTTCAACTAGAAATAAACAATAATAAAGGACAAATGATTTTTACACATCTTCTAGGCATGTGAGACAGTTTTTGAGATGCGATTTTATGTTTAAATTTTTGTGTTTAAAGGATATTTTAATGGCTTATGCAGCCAATAGGACACAATATCTGAAATTACGCCTATCCTAGATAATCTGGGATATGTATTCAAAATTGGTAGAGGTTCCAAATTCGTTAAAGCAAAATTAAAAAGTAAAGCTTGTCCTCCCAAATAGTATTTCCCAGGTTCTTTATATCTTGCTGAAGGATCCCAAGGAACATGGTTAGGATCTCTACCTTCAAGGCGTAGCTGGTGGAAGGGGGAAGGGGATGGTGAGTCAGGTAATCATCATGTATGTGAGCAGCCTTCCCTGGCTCAAATGGGACAGTGCAGGTGTGCAGTGTGATAAGGGCACTGACCCCAGGCAAGGAAGAACAGAGGAGACATGTTAGATGATGTAATCTTTAGGCTTCCCCTTCCCCTTTTTATGGTGCTGACGATCAGATCTAGGACCTCGTGCACACCAGGCCAGTGTCCTACCACTGAGCCACACCCTTACGCTTACATCTGAACAGGATTAGTTGACAGTCAGACAAACGAATTAAGCCTGTAACTCAACATTGTGGTGCCCCAGCACTGACAGGCTTGTTTTCCCCAAGAAGGTGCATTACGGTGTGGCATTGTGGGAGCAGATTCTATCATTAGGGTAGCTAAAGCTTTTGTGCCTCCTCCCTTCCCCCTTTTCTCCCTGCCACCTGTGTTGTGCATTGCTCTTCAAAAATTTCCCACTGTTTGTAAATGCTCTTTGAAGAGCTATTCTCCTTTTTTATCTATCTGGCAAATTCCAAGTTGGCTGAATGGAAGTAGACCTGATATTGTGTTTTCTGCTTTCTGGGTTATTGCCATGTTAACTGCCGCTCAATTCACCAGTGAAAGGCTCCAAAAGCTGCTGTGTGCACATCAAGCCTTCCAGTTGCTTGTTGTTGGCAGTCCTTTCATGCGGTCTGCACCTCACACAAAGGAAGTGAGCAGGCTGAATACAAGGCTGATTAGGCCGGTGGGGACTGTTTTGACCACATTCTTTCTTCAAATTTGAACTCTCCAAGGTTTCATATTCAAAGACTTAATTCTAAAGTCTTAAAATTAGGAAGGGAGGGAAGTTGATACATAAAACATGAATGAGTGTTTGGAACATTTATATTAAGGTTGGAATTAATTAATTTGAATAATATTTGGCACGCATCTACTGTTACAGAGGAAGCAAATACAGCCCAACAGGGAAAAAAAAAGATTTTTAACTCCCTCTGAAATATTATCTGTTTACTGTGACATTTTTTAAGTCATCTGACTGTTACTTGGTTCTTTATTATCTTTCAAAGGTTTTTATTTGCCCTCTGCTGTTAGCTTGTGATTTGTTGTAGAATATTGAGACACACAGAAAATACTTTGGTCACACACTTCCCTAAAATTGTGATTTTATTGTTTTTGTAATAGTGCCAAAGGTTTTCTTTAATTTTAAACATGATACTAGAAAAATAAAAGGAAATAAAAGTTATTCAGAATACTGTCATCCAGAGTAGCTATTATTAATATTTATTGAATATCATTGTAGACACATTTCTGTGGTAAAGAACGGCAGAAATTAAAAGAATATAAAATAGAACATGTGTCACATTATGTATGTTATCTTTAACATGTATGAAATTCAATCATTTAAATTTATTAACTGAAGAATAAAACTGAACAGAAACCAAAAAAAGCTGGTGAACTTGATAAATATTTTCTCAAAACAAATTGCTAAAAGTTCTTTCTAAAGTGAGAAAAAGATTATGAAAAACTTTGAAACCATAGTAAATGAATATATATCTAAAGTTTGATATCTTATGGCCCCTCGCTATGAAAAGTGAAGAAATTAGCACTTTGAAAATTCCTCCCTCTTCTCTCTCTTCTTCATCCCCATTCCCTCTGCTGATTATAAACCTTTACATTCGGTGCTGTGCCCTTTCCACAGTTGCTTCATCTAGTGCTTTATCTCAACTGGATTTTGATTCAACCCGAACTCTTTACTCATCTGCTTTTGGTTGGGTAAATTTTATTGCAGCTCCTGATCTGAATACTTGCTACTTGAGAATGTGTTACGGGTCAGATAGTTAAAGGAGAGATTCACAGCATAGGAATTCTGTTGTCCTCCCACTGTGTATTTGACATGGGGCTCGGCTCAGTCCTGGAGCTTTTACTCGTGTGTCCTGTGGTCTCTTAACTACCATTTAGAAAGTTTAGGAACTACAAGGGTCACTTCTTCCTCCCTTCTCTTAGCCTGTTTCCTTCTGAGAAAGTTCCTTGCACAAATTGCCCTTTCATACTTGGAGCCCCCAGACTTCCCACACTGCATTTTGGAAAGCCAGTGATTGCTTGGGCTCTCAAAACTTATTCTACCTTAGCAATGCTACCCATGTAGGACATCTATGGCTATTTTTGTTTATCAGCTTGTAAGATCTTTTTCCAGTGAAAATTTTGACTGTAAAACAAGTCACGATAGTAGAGGAGGAAGATAAAAATGAGTAGGAAGTCAGGATTGACTGACTGATTTTTGCTCTGAATTTTATGACTGCCCATGAATGTGTACTTTGCATAGCCTGAATTTTCTTCGGCCTCATCTCAATTACTCTGTGTTCATCAGCATGACATATATATAAAATGTGGTCTGTTTATATGCCAGTGAGCGGGATACAGTGAGGAGTTATCATGCAAGGATTACTTGTCCTTTGTTGCAGGATGCCACTACTTTACTGGAGTAGCAGCTGAAAACTCTTTTGAGGCTCCATTAAATCTTTTCCTGTGAGATGTCAACAATCATTTCTCTGCAGCAGTGTCCTTGTTTAACCACCCACTGCCCCTGATTTCCCATTTATTAGCTCTTCAACATCTGGTCTTCAGAAGCACATTCTTTGAGCCTAGCATTATTGGTAGTCTAATCAACTCTTCCAGTTTTAAGGCTGAAATCTAAATAACTTTTTTTTAGGTAAGAAAAGTGAGCTAGTGTCGGGGCCGGTGGGCTGAAGGGAGGTCTGATCAGGCGAGGTTCCCAAAGAAAGAATACACATGGAGCAGAGATTACAAAAAAGCAGGAACCAACTTTAATTTCCACCATCAGGGAAGCATCAGAGCATGAGAGTTGGAGCCGCAGCTGCAGAGCTCAAGAGCTGTGTGTCTCTATCAGCTTTTGTGAGACACAGACAAAACAGCCACGCAACCTTGCATAGTCTTGTGTTATGTGCATGGCTGCTTATGATTTATTATTATTATAACAAACTTCATCGTGCACCTGTGGTAAACAATAGACTCGTGTCCTCAGGTGCCCTCTGATGTCCTCAGGTGCCTGGGCTTTGACACATCTGCCAGAAGTCCCCTACGGCTGGGCATGGTATCACATGCCTAAAATCTCACCTCGCTAGGAGGCAGAGGCAGGAGGATTGCGAGTTTAAGCCCAGCCTGAGCAACTTAGAGACTTAGCAAGACCCTAACTATAAATAAAAAGGGTAAGGGGGGCACTCACCGAGAAGGGCCCTGTGTTCGATCCCCAGTACCACGAGAAGAAAGGGAAGGGACAGAAAGGGAGCATTAGGGTAGGGAGGGATGAGAAGAGAAAGGGGGAAGGAAAAAGGAAGAAAGAAAAGAAAGGGAAGGAGGAAGAAAGAGAAGCAAAGAAAGGAGGAGAGAATAAATCTCCTCTGAGTAGTATAGAGAAATATCTCTCACAGTACTTCACTTTTCAAGTCCTTGGTGGTAGCAAAGATAATTTTAAGTGAAGATGACAGTTGAAATTTTAATAGTCATGTTTTTACTTAGGTATATTAGAAAAATATATCTAGCAAAGTGGTAATGATACAAAATTTTATTTTATTTTATTTTTCTATTTTTGGTACCAGGGATCGAACTTGGGACCTTGCTCTTGCAAAGCAGGCGGTGGAACCACTGAGCTAAATCCCCAGCCAAATTTTTATTTTCAATATAAGCAAAAAAGGAGCACATCTAAAGAACACATAAAGTAAATAATAGTATATGGGTAATATGTACATATGGCGAAAAATTGTTAAGATGATATCTAAATTCCTCTTATTTCAGAAACTCAAGAATGCAGAAATAAGAAATACATAGATAAAGCAAAAATTGCCCAAATGCACAAGAGGAGAACTTGTAAAGGAGAATATGGAGATCAGAAACCTATTTAAATTATGCTTATTAAAATCTAATTTTTAATGAGGCGATGGTTTTCATGTGTGCCTCCCACTCTCGCGGAGCTGCACAATGCCCTGCCTTCTCCTTAACTCTTCCTTTTCTCCACAAAATATTTTGGAAGGCAAGCACATGGAAAATGTCCTAAGAAGAACCTTTGCTCTAATTCATTTTTTGGTAGCGGGGATCCAACTCAGGACCTTGTGCTTGCGAGGCAGGTGGTGGAAACACTCCGCTAAACCCCTGGTCATCTAATTCAGTTTTAAAAGGGTGAATTATTCTGAGTTCTGTCCTCAGCACCAAGGGGAAAAAGAAGCAAGTTATTTATAAACAACTATTTTAACTTTTATTAGCAAATACTGCACAGCAGATCCTGTGATCGACTGCATCTTGCCAGATTGTCAGGGTGCTTGAGTAAGAGTGGCCTCACAAGTTAAGAAGTTAGGTTTAAAGTATCATGTGCAGAATCCTAGGCAGAGAGAGTCATTGTCTGAGAACTGTTTCCCTTATTGCCCCTGACTTAATAATGCCCCTCTTCTCTTTCACACACAGACTGTTGGGCGGGAACTGCTACTCCATCTAATCGACTATCTCGTAACCAGACATGGGAAAGATCTTGAAATCACAAATCTAATCAATAGTACCCGGATACACATTATGCCTTCCATGAACCCCGATGGATTTGAAGCTGTCCGGAAGCCTGATTGTTACTACAGTAATGGAAGGTAAAGTTGGGTTGGCCTCACTTTATGGGCACCTGGGCCCTGGCAGGAAGAGGTGCCTCAGAGCCTGTGTGCTGTCATTAATGTACTGACTCATGCCAGGCCTGCCCGCTTCCTGGAAGATGGGACAGGCAACCAGGGCTCCCTGCCTGCCTGTCCTCCCCTCCACTGGCCATTCCTCCCCACGCCCTGACTCCAGCCTCTCTGCTGCGCAGACAGCTTGCCTCCATGTTACCCTCTCCTGCTGCGACCCCTTCCCCAACCAGGTCCCGTGGCCCAGGTCCGCTGGTGTACTGTTAGATCACCCAGCACTCTGCATCCTGGCACCATTCTTAATGTCTCTTTCCCCACTGAACTGCAAGCTACCCGAGGGTAGGAATCCTGTCTGATGTGTTCATCATTGTTAGTTCTTCATCGTCTGGCATAGTGAGTACCCAGGCCTTCAGTGATGATGTGTTAATTTATTAAGCCAATAGTAAAAGGACTGCGTCTTACAGTCATTCTTGTTTAAATAGTTTATGTTGTTTCAAGCTGCTGCAGAAGGTTTAGAGTTTCTCAAGTGTCTAATATGCATATTTGTGCAATTTATAAATTTGTTTGCTTGACCAAAAATAAGTAAAATCTCACCCTTCAGTTTTAAGTTTCTCTACCATATATTTACACATAGTCCGTCCAGTTTTTCGAAATGTTTGTATAAAGTAATGTGTTCACTAATGTTTCTGTCATCAGTAGCTATATAAAGAATCACCCAAAATTTGGTGATATAACACAACAGCCTTTTTATTTGTTCTTGGTTCTGTAAGTGAGGATTCTGGGCAAGGCAGAGCAGGAATGGCCAATCTCTGTACCATATCGGCCTCAACCTGGGTCTGTCTGGATTCTAGCTGTCACCTGGGTTCCTCGTTCCTCCATAAGGACTCTCCATGTGTCTATTATTGAAGAATCAGAGCTCTAAAAGGGAGTGTTCCAGGAACAGAAGTCCCAAAAAGCAAACACTTTTCAAGCCTCTGTTTGCCTCAAAACAGCTAATGTCCCATTGGTGAAAGCAGGTTACATGGGAGGAGACCACAAAGAGTGTAGGCGCCGGGCGTGTTTCATAG